GTCAGGAGGTGGGTTGAGTGATCTTTCAAACATGGGCTTCACCTGTGAGACATGAAAGTTTCCGTTACCCACTGGAAGCGACTGAGGGGTTGATGATCTTAGTGATGGGAAAGGGACCGGTAAACCATAGAGCGAACTTCTTGGGTGTCTCCTTGATGGTGATGTCCCTTGTAGATAACCACACCCTTTGAACGACCTGGTAGGAGGGGCTTGATGCCATGTATCTGTCAGTGAACCTCCCATTTTGTTCTATCTAACGTAGGAGCCTCCCTATTCTGTCGCTAGACTTTGACATTTCTGGAGGTGGTGCTGAACAGACGGAACGGCAATGTCAGGTTCTTGACTGGAAAACAGTGGGAGAGAGTAACCAAGAGATACTTCAAATAGAATAAATTCTGTAGTTGATGAGGTGATGGAGTTGTGTGCACATTATACCAAGAAGAGATGTTGATACCAGGATGGATTACTTTCAATTACGCACCTTAAAGCCACTTCCGGGTCTTGATTACATCTCTCCATCTGACCGTTAGACTGAGGGTGATGCCAGGAGGTGAGGTTACATGATGTCTCTAAGGCTTGGAAAAATGCCTTCCATACTTGGAAGGCATTCCTAGAACTGGAAGGTCACCGGTTTGATCCCTCGTCCAGCTGTCTCAGTTGTTGTGTCCTTGGCAARACACTTCACCCCTAATGCCTCTGATGTGTGTCCCATCAATGTATGAATGTGATTGGCACTGATTAGTCTCCATAGATGATTGTATATGTTCGCTTTGTAGAGACCTAATAGAGTGCTGTGTGAATGGCAGATGAGGGCACAGATTGTAGTGTGAAGTGCTTTGAGTATCCTGGATGGATAGAAAGGCACTATATATGTACAGTCCATTTACCATTTTACCTGAGATACAAATTTTTAACACGTCCGATACAACATCACAAGGTATCCCATGAAGCCAGACGACATGTTGCACCAGAAGCGGTGCCATTTTGAGGGCTGATGGGAGCTTAGGGAGAGAGACAAAGTGTGCAGCTTTGGAAAATCAGTCAACAACAGTAAGACTGATGAAATTATCTTGAGAAATGGATAGTCCAGTGACGAAGTTGACAGTGATATGGGATCATGGGCGACTGGGGATGGGGAAGGGTTGGAGAAGCCCTGCTGGAAGCTGGTTGGAATTGTTATTTCTTGTGCAGGTGTGACACGCTGAAATTAATTCCTTGACATCCTTGTTTGTCGTTGGCCACCAAAAGTGTTTCTAAACAGTAGCATTCTGTTTATGCCTAGTTGACATGAAAACTTGGATTAGTGTGCCCAGTCCAGTACCTTTCTTTTAGCTGCTTTGGGAGGGTCTGTTCGAGGTCATCGAGTTAGGCATCTCTGATGAAGGCCATCTCTGTTGAAGGACAAGTTGGCAGCACGACGGCTCAGTGGTTAGCACCAACGCCACAGCAAGAAGATCCTGTGTTTGATCCCAGTTATTTTCAGGGAATCTCTGAATTAGAACAGCTCCAACCCCAGAGTCTGATTTGTCTACCTTCACAATATACTGGTGCTTCAGATCAGGGTGAGAAAGAATAGGTGTCGAAGTAAAGAACGTATTTAACTGACTGAAGGCTTTCTCTGCTTCAGATGTCCAAACAAATGGTCATACCATGGAGGTGAGCTGAGTGAGAGGGTCCACCACTAGGCCGTAGTTCTTAATGAACCGACCATAGAAGTTGG